CTGCCAGGCCGAGGGCCGGCCTGAGTGGGCAGATGCTGCGCATGGGGACGAGCTGCCCTATGTCTTTGGGGTGCCCATGGTGGGCGCTACTGACCTCTTCCCCTGCAACTTCTCCAAGAATGACGTCATGCTCAGCGCTGTGGTCATGACCTACTGGACCAACTTCGCCAAGACTGGGTGAGGGGCAAAGGGGCTGGGTGGGGCACCGTTGTAGGCAAAGGCACTCTCTCCATCCTCTGCTTGCCATTCCTCTGGTAAGACACTCATTCTCACCTTCCCTTCCCGCCAAGCGAGGCTGACTCAGACACCTGCTGGACACCTCTCCTGCACCAGGCACTGAGCTGAGGGTTGGAGATGCAGCAGAGTTAGCCAGAGGTCCCTGTCCTTCCTGGGGGCGGGCTGGCTCGTGGCTTTGGCTTGTGTGTTTCTCATTCCAGCCTTGCCTTCTACCCCCTGAAACCTCACTATCACCACCTTGCTGCAGGAGGATGGCGGCAAGCACAGCAGTGCAGGCAGCTTAGCCCACTCAGTGGGCAGGCTCTGGTGTGCGCCCTGCCTTTGCCTTGCCATCCCCGACTCTCCTCTCGGGGCTTGGTCTGTGTATGTGTAAGGGCTGCTATCTGTGTCTTTATTTCCGTCTCTCTCTCTCAGCCCATCACAGTGCTCCTTTTTTCCTGCTTTTCTGGTTTTTTCATTTGTTTGTTTGGAGGTTTGTTTGTTTTTTTGTTTTGTTTTGTTTTTTGTTTTTCGTTTTTTGCTATAGGGCACGTGCACTCGCCAGAAAGACAGAGAGAGACAGAGAGACAGAAAGCAAGAAATCACCCCCCAGGGGGGATGGCCATGCCGCAATCCCTTCTCCTCCATTCTCCTCTCAGCATCTTGGGCACGCACGCACACGTGCCCGGTGTGAGTTTAAGCCACCGGGTCCAGGACTCAAACCGTAGTCGACTACATGGGAGTCTAGCGACAGCCATTATACTAACTGCTGGTCCCATGTTTTTCTTTTCTTTCTATTTTTCTTTAAGTTTTGCAATAGGGCACATGCACCTGCTGTAGAGAGACAGACAGAGAAGGGGAAAGTGAGAAATCACCCCCCCCCCAGGGGGATGGCCACACCACAATCCTCCATTCTCTTCTCTGGGCTTTGGACATGCACACATTCGTGCCAGATGCGTTTTTCAAACAGGTCCAGGACTCGAACTGTGCAGTTGCCCATGTGGGACCCAGCTGCCTTAACCTCCATGCCACCAGCTGGCCCTGAGCCTGCTCTTTTGATGTTCACATTTTAATTGCATTCACCAAGGAGACAGAGAGGGAGAAAGCTGTCCCCAGTGGGGTATGGCCACACACACACGTACCCAGGGTGTTTTCCAAGTGTCTGGGGCTGGGGTTCAAACTGTGGTCACTCGTATCGGACCCAGCTCCGTCAACCACTAGGCTACTGGGCTGGCCCTGGTGTTTCCTTTTTGTTGTCAGTGGCTATTGACAGTTTCATCCAGGCTGTCTCTCTGTCTCTGGCTATCTCTTATATATCTTTGTCTCTGTGTTTTGTATCTTACTTGGTCTCGTCTGCTCTCTCTTGCCAGCTATCTCTTTGTCTCTATCTCTGTCCTCTTTAGCTATCTCTGGCAGTCTGTCCCTGTCCCCGTTTTGCCTCTTCCTCTTCGTATTCATCTCTGTCTCTGCCTCTATGACTTCTCTGACCTCCTTGCCGTCTCCATGTCTCTCTGCATCTCAGTCCCCCTCCCCACCCTCCCCACTGCTGCTGCCCCCTTCAGAGTCTCACTCTCACTTCTCCTTTCCCCGCCTTCCTGTGCCCACAGCGACCCCAACCAGCCAGTGCCGCAGGACACCAAGTTCATCCACACCAAGCCCAACCGCTTTGAGGAGGTGGTGTGGAGCAAGTTCAACAGCAAGGAGAAGCAGTACCTGCACATTGGCTTGAAGCCGCGCGTGCGGGACAACTACCGCGCCAACAAGGTGGCCTTCTGGCTGGAGCTCGTGCCCCACCTGCACAACCTGCACACCGAGCTCTTCACCACCACCACGCGCCTGCCTC